TTTCTCACAGACGGCGCTCAACTGACCCTAGCATCTTGTGCAGTCGACAAAATACAAAATAAGCAATGCGCATGCGTGAAATTAAAAATAAAAAATGGCGATAATTTACCCATCGCACCTTATATAGATATATATGAACAGAATGAGATAGATAGATAGATAGATAGATAGATAGATAGATAGATAGATAGATAGATGCATGCATCAGAATAAATATTGTTTAGTATAATTCGGTGGATCCGTTATTTTTTTTACCTTCTATTTTTATAAATCGTACTTTGCCATAGATTTTAATCAAAGCCCGATCTTTTACGAAGGGGATTTTGCTGTTTCTTTTTTTTTTTTTTTTTTGTATCTTGGCCCAACATTACGGTTTGCAGAAATCCAGTTCCTGTCAAATGATATGCAAATGATCTCCCTGACATAGCAGCGTTTATGAAGTTCACCGTTTGTTACTACATTACCATTTAGCAAGTCCTCAAGGTCGGCATCATGATGGTGTGTGTTATTTCACCACTTTTTTTCATTATGCTCATGGAACTCATATTAAGGAGAGCAGCTGACACAGGAAAGGAAGTGATGACTAAGGAACAAATGGACATTCATCTTTCTAGAGCATTCATGGAGGACGTCACCATTCTGGTCCCGTCTGCAGCGTTACTATAAGCTCTTTACGTGAGCGAGAATGAAGGCGAAGAGAAACCGGAGCTCAAAGGCTCTGTCAGGGAGATTCACTTCTGCATTGGGGGTGACATGATCTCGACAGCGCCAAAGAGAAGTCAGTAGTTTGTGGCCGGGGAAGGTGTATGACATTACCTGCGAAAGTGGCTTGGTGTTACCCCTGGTTCTCCACAGTGGGAGATATACCAATGCCGGAAACCTGCAACTTCCAATCCCCTCCTTGGGGGAGGAGTCAAAGTTCGGAAAGTTACATCTTCCCATGATGATGAGGGACTCGGCCGATGAATTCGAGCACAGGTTACAGCCAAATATCAAAACTATATATCTATCTATCTATCTATCTATCTATCTATCTATCTCCTCTCTTGGACGGCCATATGAAATTCCACTGACTGATCGTCACTTAGGTAAAGAGGTGCATAATGTGGGACTAGATAGACTTGAATCCTTTGACAGGATCATTCTTTCCGGCAAACTTAAGGCATAGTGCTACCAACATGTTATGCTTCTCCGCCTTTTGTGGCCGGGGAAGGTGTATGACATTACCTGTGAAAGTGGCTTGGTGTTACCCCTGGTTCTCCACAGTGGGAGATATACCAAAACCGGAAACCTGCAACTTCCAATCCCCTCCTTGGGGGAGGAGTCAAAGTTCGGAAAGGTACATCTTCCCATGATGATGAGGGACTCGGCCCATGAATTCGTCCACAGGTTACAGCCAGATATCAAAACTAACACCTAATGGTCGGCAATAGAAACCACTCCAGAAGGCGAATCCAGCCTGCGGACCAAAGAGATTATAGGTTTGAACCGAACTAATCGAGCTGGTCTGGGCAGAACGGGCAACTAATTTTTCTTCAGAGGCCAAAGGGTAAACAAGACATGACAATTGAAGAAATCAGGAGCCATTGAGAATATCTTTTAGAGACGAATTTGGAATCACCTTTAACTCTTCGGGACTGTCTACTTCTTTAAGTTGGTGAATGCTGCCATAATCCTTGCCTTCAGTTCATCTTTGGTATTACATGGAGTTTTGTTTGTCTCTCGATATTTTGAACCACATACATAATAATCAAGGCGGTTGCAGTCTGTGGTGTTATGTGGGCAGATATAAGGAGTGATATGGTCGCAGAAATTGTTTGACGGCCATGACTGTGTTCTGCTTGTGAGGCATGGTGCAGAGCCCTGTTGCCAAACATATGGTCTTCCAGCAGCCACCCTCTTGACCCAGGACAGCACTACCTCCTTCCTATTAAACAAACAAAAGAAAAATGAGCTTCATCTAATTTGGTTTGGTTTCGCGAATGTATAAGGATCAGTTCCTCATGACTTAATTCGAATTTCCCTCAAATTATCAATTTCCCTCGTAAGGTTGGGGAAATAATAATGAATTATTTCCCCAACCTTACGAGGGCTAATTGAAAATGAAATTAGTGCAGAGTCATGTTGCCAAATATATGGTCTTCCAGCAGCCACCCTCTTGACCCAGGAGAGCATTACCTCTTTAAGGCAATTGATGTATTATTTTCCTCTTGAGTTTGAAGCTCTGTGAAAAGATGAATGGGGGCATAACGTCACCATCACTCGTGGTCAGTCCAAACAACTTCGTAATCACCATTAGACTCATCCAACTCTTTCCGAATTCCCTGAACTGTCCTCACATTTACAATCAAAACACTGTAATGTTCATATTAGGGCGTCTGGCGCAAATGCCAAGCAGTACAGCATGCCGTTTCCAAATTTCTGATGAATTGCGTGATGGTGCTTTTTTCTCACAGATGGTGCCCAACTGACCCTAGTATCTTGTGCAGTTGACATAATCCAAAATAAACAACGCGCATGCGTGAAATTAAAAATATAAAATGGCGATAATTTACCCATCGCACATTGTATAGATAGATATGAACAGAATGAGTTAGATAGATATATAGATAGATAGATAATAAACAGAATGAGATAGATAGATAGATAGATAGATAGATAGATAGATGCATGCATGCATGCATGCATGCATGCATTCACCCGAATATATATTGTTTAGTATACTTTTTTCCCTTCTATTTTTATAAATCCTACTTTGCTATGGATTCTAATCGAAGCCCGATCTTTTACGAAGGGGCTTTTGCTGTTTCTTTTTTTGTATCTTGGCCCAACATTACGGTTTCCAGAAATCCAGTTCCCATCAAATGATATGCAGAGAAAATGAATCCAACCTCCACCGTGATGCACAGAATCGATGGCCACCGATCAATTTCTGTCGCTGACATTTCAGAAGAAATAATTGGAGAAAAGCAAAGATCTGTGGCCAAAGTCGAAAACATTGCACTGAAAGGAATGGAATAGCATCAAAGATTTCATCTCATTTACTTACCGAGGCGCACAAGGTGTGTTTAGTATCTATCTATCTATCTATCTATCTATCTATCTATCTATCTATCTATCTATCTATCTATCTATCTATCTGTTTCTTGTTTCATTTATTTTTCCTTCGCCTCGTTTTCCCTCAATCTTCCTACTCCCATCTCTCTCCTCTCTCTCTCTCTCTCTCTCTCTCTCTCTCTCTCTCTCTCTCTCCCTCCCTCCCTAAGGTATGGGTAAGGGAAACTCAGATGAGTTTCACCACAGAATATGTGATCGAGCAGCGCTATATCAAGACCCGTTGGTATGGGTTTGCCTCATATCGTAGCTGTCGGGGTTTCAATTCTCAGTAGTGGATGCGCACTGCTGATGAGTCACAAATATTGGACAAAACGGCCGTCCAGTGCTTTCTGCATTCTGTTGAGGTTTCTTCTAGACTCGATGAATTACTTAATTATAATTATCTCAAATCCTCCTAATAATTTCTATCACTTGTATCTCCTTGCTTGAACCGGCTTCTAATTCTCTGGATTGAGCGGGGCTTGGGGATAGTAGTCGTGGCTCGTGGGGGTCACAGTCCTATGGGTAAAAAAGAAACTCGGATGAGTTCCCCCACTGAATATGTGATCGAGCGACGCTATATTATTTATGATTATCTCAACTCCTCCTAATAATTTCTATCACATATATATAACGATTTAAAAAAAAATTTAGCTTAGATGTGGCACAAGGCCGAAAGTGTGGAGCACCCAGTGAGTATCGAACAGAATTTTCAGTCGTTACTCATCTAGTGAGGCAATCTTGTTAACCATTATACAACGTTGAAATGCCCATAGAGGGTGCGATGGATAAATTGCCGTCTAAATGACGCAAAAATGAAAATAACACTGGCATCTCATTTTAACAGATCTACAGGGTGCGACAATTATCTATTACACTCTGCATAGCGAGATTCGAACTCGGATCTTATGGCCTAAACGCCAACTTTATAATCACTAGAATATGCGTCCTTTAGGCAAAACTATTAATCAGACAACATCATAAAGTCAACGTGTGGGATGTGGGTGATTCTATATTTGATAAGCGGTTTTCTAGGTAATCTTTCTTAGATAGAAACCATTAGAATGTCTCAATCGAAACCTTGGGGTAAGAAAAAACATGATGCTGGTAAAGGTAATATTATCTGTTTCCCTATGAGGAACAGGGAAACACTTGGCTTTCATTGATCAGTCAGCCAATATGCTGTCGTTTGAAATTTCTCATAAATATTTTAAAACAATTTTTTCTGGAAAACAGGTTTCTCAAGTCTAGTAACTAACCTTTTATTTGAAATACTGTAGAATATCAACATCTTGTCATTATTTTCTCTTCGAGTTACATGAGCTATCCATTTTAGTTGTTACTTCTGTTGGTAGTCTTCAAGTGATATTTTTTATTATTATTATGACTTTGAATTCTTTGAGGAACATAGGGCCGCAACATATCGTTGCGGTTTCTATAACAGAGCCAGTTTTTAAGTGATTAGGGTTTTAGCCTACTGTACACCCTCAATCTGGAGGATCAGGTTTGGAATTCAGAGTTATACTTCTCTTAAACCATTTGCCACCTAAAGCTATAGAACCCTCTCTGTCCTGCTTATACTTATACCTGTGGGGAGAAGAAGAGGATTCATACCAAGTGTATTAGCACGTAAGTAAATGTAATGGATTCGACGGGAATTCGAACTCGGCTCTCTTATTTTTCAATCCGAGCCTCTATCCATTACTCCACCCACAAGTGATATGTTTTCTGTTATTTAATACACTTCTTTGTTTGCGATTCTGTAGCAGCACCAGGTCAAAATATTCAAAGAAGGGTGGTATTTGCCAAGGCCCTCAGGCTTCATTCGGTGAAAGCCATTTTTAACCATTGATATTATAAAATATGATATAAAATATGATATAAAAGCCATTTTTAACCATTGATATTAAAAATTGGTTGTATACTGCTGATAGTAAATGTCTGAACAGTTTTGTCTCAATTCATGCCATCCATCTAAAATAGTCGAACTGGCGAAGGTATTTAAGAACATGTCTCGAAAATGTCTGTCTAAACGTATTTCGCTAAGCTACTGTCCCTTGGGGCTGTGCGTGCCGGAAAATGGCCGAGAGTAATCAAGCGTGGATTCGTGAATTTCGTGATGTAGGAATTGTGAGTTCCATCCCTGGTCAGGACAGTGTGTACTTGGGCGAGCAATAACTGAGCAATAGTGAAAATAAAGATTAGACGAGATATGTCTAAACATTGGTAATGGAACTAAAACAGTATACACCCGTAGATTAAATAAAGGGTTCAGTTCAGAATTCCCTATATGTTACCCAGATCGATATGCGCGATGATGAAGGCCGGATGACACAACGACAGAAACGTTGTGATAACAACAGAAAAGATGAGGACATTAGTCAGAATATAAATAGTGTGAACACGAATTAAGTTTTCAGGTTAATGGTTGAGATTTTGTAGCAAGTGGTGGTGTTTGAGGAAACTATTACTAGCGCCAATTATTCTCTGTTCAATTTCCATTTATCCTATACTGAATTTGTTATAAATGCTCCATATACTGAGGCATTTGAAACCTTTAGTATTTACTAATTTCAAATCCTGAATTTTTATAATAGATTCATGGTATATGGCATCTGTGATTTCGTTCCAATTCCAAATAAAACGGAAAGAATAAGATATAAAAAAAATGTCTTTTCACAGAGAAGGACTTTTCCCACCATCAGAATGGTAAATGCCAACTTCCAGGAAAGTAATTCATTCCGCCTTCTCTGGCTAGCATTTTCCCCTAATATGAAGAGGAATAATTATATTGAACCATTTTCTGTGTCTGCTGCTAAGAAAGTTGGTATCTTGAACGTTTCTGGGTCTGTCACTTTTCTTTGCGTTCAAGATTTACGCCACATTTGGTCTGGGAATTATGTTACATACAGCTTAATTCAAAAACAAAGAGCAGGTTTCGAAAATTTAATAAAAGCAAATTCTAAGAGAGAAAAAAAATCAGTATATTACTAGATAGCTGTTATATAGGAATAAGGTGTCGCTGCCGACACTTGTATTTGAACATAGATTGCCATGGAACAAACACAAGGGATCTCATTATTGAATTAGAAAGATCACGTGGCCATAGATGAAACGCATATATAGAGGAAGTCGCGTGACATCTGAATGTTCGTTTTCTCTAGTCTATCCTCTATACTATACGGATCTCCATTTCTTCTCTATACTAGATCACTATACGAAATACTATTAATGCGAGATTTTCGAAGGCGTCTGACACCAGTATTGTTCAACGGCATTACTATAGTTGTATCTGCGATTACAAAGTCTCTACTACAACAAGCATTACAAAAGTGACAACGAGTGTTAGTTGGCAATAAAAAGATAGGAAAAGGTTCAAAGTTATTAAAATAAATGATTTTTTTCAATTTTGTTTGAATGCTTCTATTTCTTGTTTTTTTATTTATTTCATATTTTGGATAAATTTAAATTGTTATAATTTGTGTTCACCCTTGAAATAGCCACACTGGAATCATTTTGTACATTGCAATTTGTGTACGAAACTGCAAAATAACAAACATTGAATTGCTTCTAATCCAGTAATGTGTTAAATGTGTTCGTTTTTTTTTTTAGCATTTGCTTTTATTAAATATTTGAAATCCGTTCTTTCTTTTTGAATAACCTTGTTTTTTCCAGATTCTTGACAAAATCCAAAGACAAATCTGCAATGTTATCGGTCCTGAGTTCGCATCTCGGCTTCAGGCCCTTTACCATCCGTTTGGTTTGGTTTGATTTGTTGTACGGCATATCAACCACAATGCGTTATTTAATGCTGACAAAATTTTCATTGTTGGTAATATTTTTTCCTTCCAAAATCTATTTCTGGTAAGAATTTCCCTTCACTGGTAATATTTTTTCGAAAAATGTATTATTGGTAATATTTTTTTTTTTTAAAAAATATATTGTTGCTAATGTTTTTTTTTTTACAAACTATTTCTCGTATTAAAACCTATTTTACACTTTCATAGTGTTTTAACCAGAGTTTGGGTGTTAACTATTTGCCCATATCTGGGACCCTAACAGGTGCTACCACCCCGCGTCTGGGTGGACCTGGGAACATCAGCGATTAAGTGATGGTCCCACGCTACTCTAAACTTCCTGATTAGAGGGTTTGCTGTTGGACGTAGTTTATCGTCTTACCCAGGATACGGATTAAGTTTATCGCCATGCCCAGGACGGACCTTTACCATCGGTATAATTTAGTTTCCTGTGCGTTTTCTATAAATTAAAAGCAATTGTTCTGACGAGTAATCCTCGCCAGTTGGTCGACTTGAACTTAAGAGAGATTTTCAGCTATCTACCATCATTTTTGCTCTGGAAATCGCTAGACCTAACCGCAAGTTCTATTCTAATAGTTTCTTCTCTCAACGTTTTGTCTCCTACAATCTTCATGTAACGTAAATCGCTATCTTTTTTCTTTCCTGTAATATTATTCAGCTGTCTCTTCCCTAACGTTTCCTCTTTTCTTTCACCCTCAATAACATCCTGATTTTCTGGGTTTATCGCCCTGCTTGCCATGAAATATTTAAAGTTACGAATTAAAAGAATTTGTGAAAAGTCGTGATCGGTAAAAAGGGGAATGGTATATAAAATATTATATTTAAATAAATGCTCATGAATCGGATATCTATGAACCACAGAATTATGGAGACATTTAGAATATAAATCTTTATTCTTTGGTGGTTTTAGGTATTTTAAAGCAACATAAGCCCCATAAGACGAAACAGCTATATCTCTGGAAAAATGTGTGGAAAATATCTAAACTATTGATTTTTATTCATTAACTGAGATCGTTGTGACGCTATGAGCAGACAATTTGATCCACCATATTTCACTGTTTTGTTTCGAAAATCTCCGAGCCTTGTTTTCATATATGCCAACCTTTGGAATCATTGGGCGTCCCCGTTTATTTAATTAAACATTTTTCATTTTTCCCGTCTTCCTCGTTTGATAGCAGTTATTCAAATTATCCGATTCGAAAACAGATTTGTGAAAACACAAGCGCAAAAAGAACTCAATAACGCAACGCTTTTTATCTTTCATTAAACAACTCGTTCTTTGCCATTGTCAACTTCAAAAGTCAGTATTCGTCTACCATCGTCTGATTTCCACTAATCAAACGGCGTCTGCAATCCTCTTTCTCTCATTAAGTCGGTTTGAAGAATCCTTTCATTCTTTGTACTGATCTTTGTGAAGTATGACTGACAGAGAAATCTGCGTTCGTTTCAGTCAGATAAGGCAGCACAGGTCGTGAAAATGAAAGGTAGGGAAATAATAGCATCATCAATATTGCTCAGTGTTAGTTCAATTTCATAGCATCTATCTATCTATCTATCTATCTATCTATCTATCTATCTATCTATCTCTGTCTCTCTCTCAATCTCTCTCTCTATATATATATATATCAGTCTATTCATATCTATCACTGTCTCTCTCACTCTCTCTCTCTATATATATATATCAGTCTATTCATATCTATCTATCTATCTATCTATCTATCTATATATATATATATATATATATATATATATATATTTCTTAAAAGTCTTAACACTACGCAAATAGAACATAATATTGCTTCAACTAATTCCAAACATATCAATCACTTTTATCGTAGTCAAATGCATACTAATTATAAACAACATGAAAATATACTAAAAAAATTACTAAATATTAATATACCCACAACAGACCCTAGCAGAAAAATAGGTTAATCATTCGCAATGATTCTTCCCCCCACTCTCCGTTAGCGATTTGCAGAAAACCAACATAGTTTACAAATTCAAGTGCCCTTTGGGAGATTGTATCTCCAACGGATTAAATAATATTTATGTTGGTCACACCACAAACTCGCTTTCACGGCGCTTGACTCTACATTTAAATGATTACTCTAACATTTTTAGACAACATGCCTGCCCGTGTACTCAATTCCGGAAAATACTTGTTGACAACACAACTATACTTAAACATGAAAACAATAAACAAAAATTAAAAATTCTTGAAGCTTTATACATGAAACAGTTGAAACCTAATCTGAACAAAATAAACTATGAAATCTCTACAAATAGTCTTAAACGCCTATAATTTATAACAGAAGTCCATGCTTCCCATACTTAATACTTCTCGTTTTTTCACTCTCGCGTGGTTATGTGTGGTTATGTGTGACGTCACGAACTGCGACGCGATTTTCGCTTCCGCATTTCGTATATACGAGTTTGTCGTTACTTAAAATTTTCTTGCAGCAAGGGCGGACTATCATTGTTGTTTCGTCCGTTATTGTCTGATTTATTGAAATTGTCATCTTTGATAATGGCTTATGTAAGCCGAAAGCTTAGATTGGATTTAAACATTTATCAATATGGTGTTTTCCTTTCGTCTTTCAACGTTAATGTGATTAAGCTTATCAGACAATATGAAAGGAACTTATTTAAAATAAATAGACAAAACTTGTCTATATTATTTAATGAAATATGCATTAATATATATATATATATATATATATATATATGTCTATTCATATCTATCTATCTATCTATCTATCTATCTATCTATCTATCTATCTCCGTCTATTCATATTTCTCTCAGTCTGAATATTATCTACATATCTATATCTCATCATCACCACAAGTAAACTTTTCCACTTTGCCATCATATAATTTCTCCAATACTCTTCTTGATATATATATATATATATATATATATATATATATATATATATATATATATATATATATAATATATATATATATATATATATATATGTGTGTGTGTGTGTGTGTGTGTGTGTTTGTGTGTGTGTGTACGTGTGTGTGCGTGCGTATGTGGGGGGGTCATTCATAGACAGTACAGTTTCGCTGCGACTAGACATTCGAATGCCTCAAGCCAAGATTGAAACCCAACCGATTTGGTATCTTCATTTGACAGAATGAGATAACTAAATCTATCGTATTGTTTTTACGAATGTAAACAAATGCCAATCAGCCATAGGGCTCGACCCATTTTACTGAAGAGCTTTGCATTAGCGCATGTGGCTTTTTTTTATAGAATTAGCTTGTCATTCAACAGTGCTCAATTGAAATACATATATATATATATATATATATATATATATATATATAGTGAGAGAGAGAGAGAGAGAGAGAGAGAGAAAGTAAGTCCTGTAACTGTTATTGCTCTTACCATTGAAGGTAGTTTCCTTCCTAACTTTTTTGTCTGAAGTCGTGTGGAACGGTCAACATCTTGATTAGGTCTTTTTTTCTCTTCAAAAAATGTCCCATCTGTTTTAGTTGTTGTTGTTGAAATTCTCAAATGATGGAATCGTCTTTATCTCGTATCCTTGCGTTTAATTTCTTATTTGCTGATCGCTTCCTTTATCGTGATGGCTTTGGGCAGTAAGTAGACTAATTTCTGCATGGAATGCCGATGGCATTGACTGAATAGTAATGTTGGTGGTGGATGAGGTCGATTTTGTCGGTCCTTTTTCTCTTGTCTCCCGCTTGCTTTGATGTCTTGTTTGTTTTTTTTTTGGTTTTTTTTTTGTTTTTTGTTTTGTTTTTTTTTTGTTTCCTGGGGTCGTGGAACACCGCCAAATGATATGGTAATCGGGTTGTGTTTCAAACGATTTAGGCTCAAGTTCAGTAGCTTTCTGTATTTTTTCAAGTTGATCCCTGTATATTCGAAGAGGGCAACCCCGTGGTCTTTTCCCCGAAGTAAGTTCACTGAATAAGCCTTGATGTGGAAACCTTGACTCTTCCATTCTTGCTCCATGTCCCGACCATCAGAGATGGTGTTTCATGATCCCGTTGCTTTGACTGTTGGATATTTCCTGGACTTTGGTATTTCTCACATAGCATTCCATTGGAATAATATAATATTAATAGAATATAATATTAAAATAAGATAATAACATTTAAATGGCATAACTCTAAACACTAGAAGAGATCAAGCCAAGGAATAACTCTGGTCCGTTGCCAATTCCGATTCACCAATCAAAGTAAATCGATATGAAAATATTTATATCTCGTTTCAAATGGTACTATTGACCATCATTTGTTGGTTGGCCGCCCCAAACAAAATCAGGCAACATTTTTCCTGGTATTACTGTTTTCCTCCAGGGACGCAGTAAGTAGAAATCGTGAAACTCTTGAGATTAACTTTGTCTGGGTTGGTTTTATATTGACTGCTGGTTTCCGGCCAAGAATTACACCTACTACTCTTAGCCATCATTATAGTTCCTGTCCGTATCTACCGGTCTCAGCTGTAAGGAAATCTTATACACTTCTTCAGAACACGCTGTTTCGACGATTACACGTTCCCGTATTCACCCATTTTCCCTGAATTGATATTACGTTTTTATGCACCTTACCCAAATCATTGACGTGACTGTCAAAATTACCCTTACTAATTAGAAATCTATTGATAATTATGATAGTCTTGGAAATATTTATCTACAACCTTCGAATATTCTACCGTAAATCATCACCATCATCATCATCACTCCCACGATCGCTTTAGACATAGGGTCCCTGCGTAGATGACCAGTTCCCTGAACATATCCGGATCGAAAACAGGAGATTAAATAAAGGGTTAATTTCAGAATTTACTGTAGGTTTCGCATATCGATAAACGCATGAGGAAGGCTGGAGAGCACAACGGCTAAATTGTTGTGTCAAAAACAAGTATGGGGACAATTGTCCAAATATATACCTAATAATTTACTGAATTTTTACAACTATTTCATCCTCATATCTATCTATATAATTCTGACGAGATCTATGTCAGTCTTTTCATATTACTATATCCCATTCTGATCTATCTATCTATCTATCTATCTATCTATCTATCTATCTCATTTCGTTTGTTTTATTCTAAGGCATATCAACCTCCATGGGTTATTTAATGCCGAAAAGGTTTTTATTGCTGGTAATATTTTTCTTCAAATGTATTGCTGGTAATAATTATTTATTCAAAAATGTATTGCGTGTCTTTTTACTATAAAACCTATTTTAACATTCACATACTGTTTTAACCTGAGCTTTGGGATTAACTATTTGCCATCAGCTGGAACCCTAACAGGTGCTACCACCCCGGGTCAAGGCGGATCTGGCAACAGCATCAATTCAGAAGTGGTCCCATGATCCTCGAAACCTCCTGATCCGAAGCCTTGCTGCCGGATATAGTTTATCGTCATACCCAGAACCCTATATACTAGTCTGTTCATTTCTATCTATTTTAATGCACCGGTCCCTATATGATCGAAGTTAAGCAACGTCGTGCCTGGTTAGTAGATAGCTGATTGCTTTGCAATACCGGGTGCTGTAAGTTTGGATGTGTAATGGATAGCGGCTCAGAAGTGGAAGTCAGACAGACGCGTACCAGTTCGAGTCGCGTTCTCTTTATATTCTCTTACTCGCAACATATCTTTGTGGAAAGCAATGAATCCACCTGTTCCTCCACATTGCCCTGTGGATAAAGGCGTTGGTTAGATCCAGTGACTAGATCCAAGGAGCTGTGAGTTCAGTACCAGGCTACAGCAGTAGTGAACCAAAAAAATTAAAGAGTTGAGTTAAAGGGAAATAAATAAGACATCCGGAAAAGGCATGGCACGTGGAACTAGAACAATCTACACCGGTGACGAAATAAAGAGTTATTCAAAGGCCGCAGCATAAATTTGTAAGTTTTGCGATGAACAGAAAATGAAATAAGATGATTTAAGCTCTATTAAAAAAAAAAAAGGAGGGAAAATATTTCATTATTTTGATTTTTTAAAGAATGCCATGTTCTTCCAGAACGCCGGTAATCATGATTCCTCCTAGATTCTTTTACTTTATTGCCTGTGAAAAGCCAAGAAGTCTTGGAAAAGTATCTGTGTATATTTCTGAGATGAGGTATTATGTACATTATTTACATTATTCAGACTATTGTCCTCATCTTTGTCACCATATTTATTACAACGTTTCGGCCGTTCAGTATCTATCTATATTACTGAGATGAGGTATTATGAACACTATTTACATTATTCGGACTATTGTCCTAATCTTTTTCGCCATATTGATTACAACGTTCCGGCCCTTTCGTATCTGTCTATATTTCTGAGATGAGGTGTTATGAACACTATTTACATTATTCGGATTATTGTCCTCATGTTTGTCGCCATATTTATTACAACGTTTAAGCCCTTCAATATCTGTCTATATTTCTGAGATGAGGGATTATGTACACTATTTACATTATTCAGACTATTGTCCTCATCTTTGTCGCCATATTTATCACAACGTTTCGGCCGCTGTACGCTCCGGCCTTCTTCAGGTGTTTGGAATGTCGAACTGAAACCTTTATTTCGCTCACTGGGTTAGACGGGTGTCATTTATCAGTTATCTCCTTTTAATTCCCCTCTCCAAGCTCTCCACTGCCTTAACCGGTTATTGAACTCACACTCTTTAGGTCCTGTCACTGGATCTAACCAACGACTTTATCCACTATGTCATGAGTCCTCATTAAACATGGCACGTGGAACCAGAACAGTCTACCCCATTGAGCGAAATAAAGGGTTCATTTCAACATTCCAACCACCTGAAGAAGGCCGGAACGTACAACGGCCGAAACGTTGTAATAAATATGGCGACAGAGATTAGGACAATAGTTTGAATAATGTAAGTTATGTCTTAGAAAAGATACTAACATTTTGTTTAGCAGTATTATCAATGTCTATGCGTTATTTAATGCAGAGAACTGAAGTGTTTTTTTTACACAATTTTTTTTTCTTTTAGATAATAATTGTTCTGTGATAGAAGTGGTCAGTCTGATGCATGTGTTTGTGTAAGAACTTTACGGGTACTTCCAAAAAATATGTCTCGCTAATTAACCAATATCTGGAGAGGGGAATTGTTTGCTTCATACCATTCCTAAAGGTATTTTCGCGTAAGGGAAAATAACGAAGCAACTGGAATTCGAACTTGGCTCTGCGATTAAAAAAATTGTGCCATTATTCATTACACCTTCAAGCTTACAGAAACATGTATTTCTAAACGGTGACACATCTGGGTACTGACGAGGCATGACGTTATTTAATTTCGGTGATCGTACGGGAACCTATGTTTCAACGTGATATGGCCGTAAGCCGGTTAATCGCTACAGATGAGCATGGAATATGGAGTCGGCTCAGTGATTCTTCTACCCACAACATTATTTCCCTTATTTGCACACCATCTTCATTCATTATTTATTCTTTTTTGGAAGTACCCGTAAAGTTTTTACACACAAACACACGCATCAGACCAACCACTCTCGTACACACAAACACACATGCACAGAAGCTGACGGAAATTAACGAAGTAATTTTAAATTGTAGAGATTAATTCTCGTGTTATCATTGGCCTGCATCTTTTATTCTTTCCATCATTATTCCTCTTCATAACCACAGAATATAAATAAAGACCATTGACATTATTCGGACTGTTATCCTCATCATCATTTCCATATTCACAACGTTTCGACCGTTGTACGTTCCGGTTTTCTTCAGGTGATTACAATTTCGAACCGAACCCTTTATTTCATCCACCTGGGTAGATTGTTCTTGTTCCACGTGACATACATTCAATATCTGTCTATATCTATGAGATGAGGTATTATGATTACTTGCATTATTTATATTATTCGGACTGTTATCCTCATCTTTATTGCCATATTCACAACGTTTCGGCAGTTGTACGCTCCGGCCTTTAAGTGTATTCCTCTCTATATAACTGTCTATATCTCTGAGATGAGGTATTATGATTACTTGCATTATTTACATTATCCTCATCTTCATTACCATATTCACCACGTATCAGCCGTTGTACGCTCCGGCCTTTAAGTCTATATCTCTCTATATATCAGTCTATATCTCTTAGATGAGGTATTATGACTACTTTATTATTTATATTATTCGGACTGTTATCCTCATCTTCATTGCCATATTCACAACGTATCAGCCGTTGTACGCTCTGGCCTTCTTCAGATGATTACAATTTCGAATCGAACCCTTTATTTCGTCCACCGGGTTAGATTGTTCTTGTTCCACGTGACATGCCTTAAATATTTGTCTATATCTCTGGAATGAGGTATTATGATTGTTTATATTATTAACATTATTCAAACTGTTATCCCCATCTTTATTGCTATATTCAAAACGTTTCGGCCGTTGTACACTCTGGCCTTCTTCAGGGGATTACAATTTCGAACCGAACACTTTATTTCGTCCACCGGGTTCGGTTGTCCTGGTTCCGCGTGAAGAAGCGGTATATTTATTTACCCTCCCGACGAGGTGAATTAGGGTACAAAGAGGCTGTGAATAACGTCAATATTTATTTTTTCAATCTGAGGACTAACTTATTCCTGTCGTTCCTTGATTGGCCGTTAGAAAGACTCCCAAGAGACGATGCACAATTTATTTGTTTCATACAAATAAGAGACACGGCTAATCCCAGCACAGAATCCGGAAGCGACATATCCAGGAAAGACATTTTAGCAAGTCTCATCAAAGCATAAGTTTAAACGGGGATAGAAAAGAACAGCTGGTTAAAGGTTACTTAAGCGATGATTACTTACTTCAAAACTGTCTACGGTGCCTTAAAGCCTGGTGTCCCTTGTCAAACAGCCAAAATCGACACTGACAAAACACGACAAAGCCATGAAACAAGCGAGGCAAATGCCAAATTTTGGATACGGAGGCGGTTGCTATAGCAGATAGGCAACATTTGGCTATTGGCAAGCTATTGTAGTAAACATACTGAATTTTATTGGTGGGAGGCTGCTCTCTTTAGGGGATGGTCTGGCGCGAATAAGCCGTTTATGTCCGCAAACGATAGGAAACGAAAGCAAAGAAAAAAGAGCAATTTTGTAAATAAAGGAAAGACATTTTGCATAATAACAGGAGGTAATTTTAAGAACTCAATATAAAATAGCGATAAATGATTAGCTTACGTTACAAATAATCACAACGGAGCGATGAGGAAATGGCGACAAAGAGTGAAATAACAGCAAAGAACTTAAATGTGGAATGTTTAGGGAAAGACTACGACTAATCACGAAGAACGACTTAGAGTGCTTATTTTAAACTTTATTAAAACATCTGTGTTCATCGCTTCTGTCAAAGAACGGATTAATCCAATTGTCCAATGAGAAACATTTATCTGGTACGTGTCTTCCCTTGGGAGTTTAGCTAGCTCACCGCGGAGTTTGTTACAAATGGAATGAGTTCGATCCACACTGAGTTCACCATACGCGTGGTTTTGATAAGTTAACCATAACAAATATGCCTGATTCTTGAAGGATGTTGCTCTTGTTGTTGTTATTGCTGTTGTTGCTATTGCTGTTGTTGTTATTGCTGTTGTTGTGGTTGTTGATCTTCTTCTTCTTCTTCTTCTTCTTCTTCTTCTTCTTCTTCTTCTTTGTGTCGTTTCCCTTTAAGACGTTGGCCATTATTGGCCACAATTTCCTGTCCTTTGTAGCTCTCAATAAATTTTGTATTTTTTCCTGTCAATCCGAAACCTTGCTCCGCCATGTACGTTGTGTGTTACTTTCCTCTGTCTTCTGATGGTCGGGTATGGATACTCGGTGTATGGATACTCGGGGTACGGATAATCGAAGAAGAATTGTAATAGGAGGTATATTTACAATGTCATGAAGGCCACCGTTTGAAATATATACATGGGGTTGGACAAAATAATTGGAACACTTGTTAAATCCAAAGAACATTTATTTAATATGGAGTTGGTCCTCCTTTAGCCTCACAGACAGCTTTAATACGTCTAAGAATGGAATCATACAGATTCCTGACTTCATCCAGAGGAATTTTCAGTTATTCTTCAATTAA